CAGAAGGCTCAAACCTCCCACGTGAGCGACTGAAGAAAGCTGGGCCGATTGCGCCGACATTTGCGCGTAAGCTTCCCGCGTAAGGTCGCGCGTGAGCGCCCTCATTTTCACCGTAGCGTGCCGCGATGGCGGCCCGCGGAAGACACCGCGTGAGGTCGCTATGTCATCCTGCGCAAGACTTGTTTCATTTCGTCGCTCACGTGTTGAACATGTCGAGGCGGCAGTTTTTCACATTTTCTGGCCTCCAGGGGCCCTCGCCGGGCCCAGAGACCCTCAGAAAACGATTCGGGACGAAAAGCTGGCCCCAGGGGAAGGGTCGGGACTTCCAGAGGCCCCGCACTAACAAAAAATGAGGACACCGGATCTCTTTGGGAGGGAGGCTGAAATGGGTGGGCGGGAACAGCCCCTGCCGCTGTTTTCTGGCCTCGGCCCCGTGCCCCAGGAGGTTGTCCAGCCCCGGTCGCATCGTCTCAATTGCTCTGGGTTTCATCCAGCCTTGGGGCAGTTTCCCCAGCCATGGCCACTCCCACGCATATCGAAGTTCCAATTTCCACTTCTTCCAGAGTCGCGATACCTTGAGATCCGACGACGCGATCGAAAAAGTCGCGGTGGAAAATCACAGCAGAAACCCTCGACCTATCTTCCTGCGGCATCTCTCGAGCCGGATCGATCCGTGAGGGTCGATACGTTGTTTGCTCCCCGCGCAGGCGTTCAAGGTTGAACGCCGCCAGTAACCCAGAATCAACCAATCCGGAACAATCTGGCGATCGAAATGCCGACGATCGTTCAAGGCTGAACGATCCATGCGGTGTCAGAAACCAACGCCAGGGTTGAGGGTCATCACAACACGAGCTTGCCGTGGGTCGATGTGGTCGGGAATTGTGTCGCGCCGCCGTTTCTGGCCAACCACGCCTCGGCGCTATCCACGTCCCAGTCCCCAAGCTTTGCAAGCGTCAACGTCCCGAGCCTTGCGAAGCCTTTCGTTTCGCGACACGGAGGGACACACCATCCGCTTGCAGGGCATCGCGTGTCGCCAAGGCCGCCGCCGCGACACGCTACGCAAAGATTCCCGACCGTAGGTCGATACGTTGTTTGCCCCCGCCGCCGTCGAACACCCGCGGCCGCACCAGGGCCGCCTCCCGCCGGCGCGCGACGGCGACTGCGGCTGGTGCGAGGCTGGCGGCCGCCGTGGCCGAGACGCGGCCGCGCGCCGGCGACGCCCGCGGCAGTCCTGAAAAGCTCGCGGGGCACCGCTCCGAACGACTGCCCTCAGGCCAGAGGAGGAGAGACTGCCGATACCGCGACCCTTCCGCCGTCATCGCCGCGGCTGGATCCGCCTCGAGATCTTGATCAGAGCGCACCCCAGGAGAGGTCCTCAAAGGACAGCGGCCAACCGCTCCGACCCAGATCTCCGTCGATATGATTTTGTCGATCCCGCTCTTTTATCCTCATTTCGACCTCTGGGGCCTGTGTTCGGACCCTGGGGCCACCAAAACAATGGCAACCAAAAGTGGGGCCAGAGCTGACCCTGGGGAAGGAGTCGGGAGTCCTGGGGCCGCGAATCCGAAAAGCCGTATCGGCCTTTTGTCGTCGCTTTCGGCCTTTGGAGGCCCTCGCCGGGCCCCCAGGACCGCGAGAAACGACCCAGGATGAGAAGCCGGCCCTGAGGAAGGGGTCTATGGCGGGACACACAGCAGAAGATCGCGGCGGCCAGGTTGGAACGTTCTCGGCCGAGCCCGTCTCCTGCCTTGGACCGTCAAAAGGCGACTCAGGGTGAAAAGCCTGGGGAAAGGAGTCGAGATCCTTGGGCGCCAACATCACGGAGAAAAATGCAGCGGAGGAGGGGGTTGCTGGCGGCGCACAGACGGGTGTCGCGCGGGGGGGGGCTTACAAGAAGGCAGCGGGATCCATAGGAGCCCGTCAATCGACAGGGGTCCGACCGACCGAGCACCCCGGGCCAAAGCAGGGTCCATCTTCAATCCGTGTGATCCGATTTGATTCGATACCGACTCCAGCCGGCCCGATCCGGTTCGATTCCGATGTTCATTCGATCCGATGCGGCCTGTCGTTTACATGGTGCTGTTGTGCGTCCTGGCGAGGCCGATCCGATTCGACTCCGACTCCGTGCCGATGCGGGCCGATCCGATTTTCATTCCGATTCCATCCGATTTCCTGACTCGATGCTGGCTGATCTTGCTAGAGGTGCGTGGAGGTGCCGGTTTTGCCCCAACTAGCCCCCTGTTTGTCCCGCAAGCCCCCTTTTCTTGTCGCCTGCCCTGGTTGCCACCGCTGGCCCCTTTGCAGGTCCCGCTGGCCCCTTTGTCGCCAATGCCGATAGCCGCCAGCAGTTCTTGCTTGGCCCAAGCCGGCACATGTTTTGCCTTCCTTCTCGCCCACGTCTGTTGCGGCTGCAAGCCCCTCACTAGCTTACTAGCTCTGGCTCAGCCGACGAGCCCGGCCAGCCGTGCTTGCAGCCAAGGCCAGTTACCGCCACCAGCCTCTATTGATCCAGCAAAGTCCACCAGCGCAACCAGCCCTGCGCGCCACCGACTAGCCTATGCCTGGCACTTCTTGCCTGGCCCTTACTAGCCTGACTAGTCGTGACTGTCGCCAGCGGTGCATGCCGCCACTGGCCCCCACTATCCCATGCCTGACCTCCACGAGCCAGTACCGGCCCCGCTTGCGCTCCTTGTCACCGAGGCCAGTCGCCGCTGCTAGCCTCAATACGTCCTAGGCGGACTCGCCACCGCTAGCGCTGACAAGTCCTGGTTATCGCGAATGATCCATGTTGCTACTGGCCCCAGCAAACCCCCTTGGCATTCCTTGTCGCCAACGCCAGACGCCGCTACAAGCCCCCACTAGCTCTGGCCTAGCCCTGCCAACGTCTGCCTAGCCTCCCTAGCGACACCAGCCACGCCGGTTTCCGCAACTAGCCCCAATTTGCCACTACCCAGCCCTGGCTCGCCAAGGCTCGCCTCCGTTCGCCCCGCAGCACCAGTAGCGACAGCGGCTGCGCTGGAGCCAGCGTGCTCACCATTCCGTGGCTTCGCTGTGCGATGATGATTCTTCTGCCAAGCGAAATCCCTCAAACGAGTATTGTTTGGGGCCCACGCGCCAGAGTCATTCAAAACAGACGCCCTCGCAGAGCGTGTGCGCTGTCTAGCTGGGTCCGTGCACATTTGGTTCAAGCAAGGGCAGCACAGCCAGAAGGCATGGACCCGCCCGACACCGCCCCACCTGCGTTTGCTGTGGTGCCTGCGACCACCGATGGTCCGACGCAGACCGAGGTCATCGCGGGAGAGACGGAGGACATCCACCTGCTTGCTACAGGTGGTGGTTGGCCTGTCGCGGGGGACCAGCTGGAGGTTGAGTGGCCGTGCGAGTCGTCCTCTGTGGTGGGCGGCGCTCCTGAGACCAGGAAGATCTGGTTCCGCGTGTCCGTGGTCGACGTTAAGGCGCCGGGCTCGACGCGGGCAAAGTTCTTGCTGCGGTTCGAGGACGACGGTGGCGAGGCGTGGAATTCTTTGCGGAAGGTCCAGTGGAGACACTCGGCTAAAGCGAGCCTTGGGGACACAGAGTCCACCAGCGGCACCGAGGCGGACGAGGGCGAGGTGGAGGACCCCACAGGCTTCGTGCACGCGTTCTCCCTGGAAGGGGACCTCCTAGACTTCTGCGACGAGCTCCACGCCCGCCGCGCAGAGCTGGCCGACCGCACGCGCGGAGACTCGGAGTGCGGCGAGAACTTGCAGGGCGGCCTCGTCTCTGTAGTGGTGAGGCGAGACTCGCTGCCCCCCCGGGAGAGGGAGCTGTACCACCGCATCCACCACCGCTGCATCGACGAGGTCCCCCTGGCCTGGCCTGGCTGGCTGCAGCGCGCCGGCGGCCGGGGCGCCCGAGCGAGGCCCTCGCAGGACTTACGGCTGCTGCAGTACTCCGGGGACGCCAACTTCAGCGCGCACGTGGACAGCGGGTGGGCGTGCCAGGCCTTGGTGTACTTGAACAGCGACTTCCGGGGAGGGCATACCATGTTCCCGAATCTGCACGCGCGGTACCGGCCGAAGCGCGGCAGGGTGCTCATGTGGCGGTCCATCTGCGTGGGCCACAGGGCCGCGAAGCCGGGCAGCCTAGAGGACCACCCTGCCTTGCACCTGGCCAGCGGCCTGCGCGGGCCAGGCACCAAGCGCGCGGTGAGCCTGCACCTGGTGTTGGCCTGAGCTCCTCCCTTCTCTGCCCTCTGTCCTCCCCCTCTTCCTCCGAGCCGAGGGGGGTGCGGCGAAGAGCGGTGGGTCGGCGGCACCAGTGCGAGGAAGGGAAAAACATGAGAGCGCTGCACGGGATGGGATCCGTTGGTCTCTCCTCGAAGGGCCTGCGCATCGACCCCACCACTTAGAGTCAGGGGCTGCTTCCGCAGCCGCCGACATCCGCGGTGGCGGTGATGCCCAGGCCGCCTGAAAGGCCTAAGTACCACCACCGTCGACAAGATTGTTGGTCATCCTGCCTTGGTAGAGGGAACCATCGATCTCGATGGTGGTGTCAATGTGCAGGCCCACTACACCCCCCTAGAAATGAATGCAACCTTCCTTCGGTTTCTTGCCACTCACCAGACCTCCGATCTCAATGTTGGAAGAGCTGCGGCCGAAGACAAAGAAAATATCCAATCGCGCGGCGGCCCCGCGTGAATATCTGAAATTGAGAGGCGCGGGGAAATGGACCGCGCGCGAGAGATTTACATGATTTGTTCAGGGCAGGGGAGTGTATCCCCCCCTTCGGAGGAGGAGGATGACGAGTGGTTCCCCTGGAGCGCCTTCTCGCCTTGTGCCGAAGTTTCCTGCTCAGTGGTGCATGGGCGGGCGGGGAGTCATTCTCTGTGCTTGGTTACCAGGCTGTTTCCAATTCATCCATCCTCTATCCCTCCTCATCTCCCCGACTCCGTCACAGTTGAGCATCCTAGGTCACATGTATTTTGCTTGTGTTTCGGTCCCCCACTGCGCGGCGTCCAGGAGATCAGGAAGATGCTGAGCACGCAAACTTGAGGCGCCGCCAGTGCGAAGGCAAGGAAAGCCTGCGCGCTTAGGACGATGCCGAGCCAGCCAATTAATCAACCGAATTCCGAGTGAGTGATCATGGATAGTGCGTGGTAGCCTCTTTATGCTGGGCGACCAGTGTAGACGACCTCACCATGATTGATTAACTTGCAGGCTGCATCTTTGACTGCCAGTTGGGCTGGGAAACAGATACAATAACGGAACAAGAACTTGTGCACCAAGGATGTTAGCGTGATAATCGGATTGCGTTGAAATGGACAGCCATTAGTGCATGTCAAGTCGTAATGGCGTAGCCACGCCCAAAGCTTGTCACGAAACAGATGTTGCAGATGCGTATGGGAACGCATCAGCGAGCACTTGCCCACATGTCTCGCGGAAGCGGAGCCTTGCTCGTCGCCATTGTTGGATTCGATTGGGGGAGGCCGCTATACACACACATACATACATACATACATACAGACAGACAGACAGACAGACAGACAGACAGACAGACAGACAGACAGACATACAGACATACATATATGTATATATACATGCCTATGTATGTATGTGTATATGTATATCTGTATATATATATATATATATATATATATGTGTACGTATATGTATATGTGTATATACAAATTTGTATACATATACACCTATTCCCTGTTATATGTTTTTACAATCCCGGCGGAACGCGAAAGGGGTCCACCCCCCCCAAAAAAAAAATAGATTCCTGGGATTTGGGGCTTTGGGACCCTCTGGACGGGCCTCGAAGCGGCCCCCCGGGCCTCGCAGGGCGTTTTGCCAAGCCTTCCCAGCACACCTAAGGCGATCAGGGGGGTCATCGGAGACGTCCCAGAGAGCCCCAAGACAGCACAAGAGCGCTCCAAGAGTGACCGACGTGACCTCCAGATGACCCAAGAGGCCTCCAGGACGGTCCCAAAGAGGCCTCCAAGAGCACTCGCAAGAAGGCCCCACGAGGCAAAAATCATTGATTTTCTGTTGGGTTTTGGTGAATTGGGGGGTACTCCTCTTTTCGGCTTCCCGACGCTCCAAGACGGCGGTCTTCTGGGCGTCCGAAGCCGCCTGGGAGGCTCCAAAATCGCTCCACAACCATCCAAAAGGGCTTCCGGGCAGTCCAAGAGAGCCCCAAAACGGCACAACACGGGTCCAAGATGGCCCTCAGAGAGCCCCATGGCGACCCAAGATGGCCCCAAGACGCCTTCCGAAGCATTCCAAATCGTGACCCGGTCGTTCAGGGAGACCGCGGTTGGAGGCAGGGTGGCCCGAGGAAGCCCCCAGAGGCCCCCAGAATACGCCCAGGAGGTCTCCAGAAGGCCTTAGGAAAGCTCGAAACAATTTTTGTGAGGCCCCCAGAGGCTCTCCAAGGAGGAGCTTCCTCAAAAAAGAGCTGAGGAGGATGGGGGAAATGCGCAGGGTATGAAGAACATGAAGAAAAAGAAGCATGGAGGAAGGATAACGAACAACATCATTATAGCGGCGATGCCGGAAAAGGCAACAAGGAGTTATCGCTAAATTGTCGGCTTTCCGCCTGCACACCAAATTTCAAGGACCAAGTTGCATGGCGCGAAGCGCCAATGCAGTCTTGTATATATATATATGTATGTATGTATATATATGTGTATGTATATATATATACATGTATATATACATATATATATAACTGTTCCTATATGTTTATAAGCCTGTGCGGGGGGAAAACCCGCCCCCCAAAAAAAGGACTCCCGAGATCTGAGGCTTTGGGACCCTCCGGACGGGCCTCGAAGCGGACCCCGGGCCTCGCAGGGCGTTTTGCCAAGCCTTCCCAGCACATCTAGGGTGATCAGGGGGGTCATCGGAAGCGTCCCAGAGAGCCCCAAGACAGCACAAGAGCGCTCCAAGAGTGACCGACGTTACCTCAAGATGGTCCAAGAGGCCTCCAGGACGGCCCCAAAGAGGCCTCCAAGAGTACTCCCAAGAAGGCCCCACGAGGCAAAAATCATTGATTTTCTGTTGGGTTTTGGTGAATTTGGGGGGTACTCCTCTTTTCGGCTTCCCGACGCTCCAAGACGGCGGTCTTCTGGGCGTCCGAAGCCGCCTGAGAGGCTCCAAAATCGCCCCACAACCATCCAAAAGGGCTTCCGGGCAGTCCAAAAACGGCACAAAACGGGTCCGAGATGGCCCTCAGAGAGCCCCATGGCGGCCCAAGATGGCCCCAAGACACCCTCCGAAGCATTCCAAATCGTGACCTGGTCGTTCAGGGAGACCGCGGTTGGAGGCAGGGTGGCCCGAGGAAGCCCCCAGAGGCCCCCAGAATACGCCCAGGAGGCCTCCAGAAGGCCTCAAGAAAGCTCGAAACAATTTTTATGAGGCCCCCAGAGGCTCTCCAAGGAGGAGCCTCCGCAAGAAAGAGCTGAGGAGAATGGTGAGAATGCGCCGGGTATGGCGAAAATAAGGAAAAAGAAGCAGGGAGGAAGGAAAACAAACAACATTATTATAGCGGCGATGCCGGAAAAGGCAACAAGGAGTCATCGCTAAATTGTCGGCTTGCTTTTCCTGCTATTCCGCCTGCATACCAAATCTCAAGGACCAAGGTGCATGGCGCGAAGCGCCACTGCAGTCTTGCATATATATATATATATATATAATATATATATATATATATATATATATATATATATATATTCCTCTTCCTATATTTTTATAAGCCCGGGGGGGGGGAAACCCATCCCCCCCCCCCCGAAAACCGGACACCCGGGATCTGGGGCTTTGGGACCCTCCGGACGGGCCTCGAAGCGGCCCCCCGGGCCTCGCAGGGCGTTTTGCCAAGCCTTCCCAGCATACCTAGGGCGATCAGGGGGGTCATCGGAGACGTCTCAGAAACCCCCATGACAGCGCAAGAGCGCTCCAAGAGTGACCGACGTGACCTCAAGATCGCCCCAAAATCGCCCCACAACCATCCGAAAGGGCTTCCAGGCAGTCCAAGACAGCCCCAAAACCGCACAACACGGGTCCAAGATGGCCCTCAGAGAGCCCCATGGCGGCCCAAGATGGCCCCAAGACACCCTCCGAAGCTTTTCAAATCGTGACCTGGTCGTTCAGGGAGACCGCGGTTGGAGGCAGGGTGGCCCGAGGAAGCCCCCAGAGGCCCCCAGAATACGCCCAGGAGGCCTCCAGAAGGCCTCAAGAAAGCCTGAGACCATTCTTTTTAGGCCCCCAGAGGCTCTCCCAGGAGGAGCCACCGCAAAAAAAAACTGAGGAGGATAGGGAGAATGCGCCGGGTATGGCGAACATGAGGAAAAAGAAGCATGGAGGAAGGATAACGAATATCATTATCATAGCGGCGATGCCGGAAAAGGCAACAAGGAGTTATCGCTAAATTGTCGGTTTGATTTTCTTGTTATTCCGCCTGCAAACCAAACTTCAAGGACCAAGGTGCATGGCGCGAAGCGCCACTGCAGTCTTGTATATATATATATAAAATAATAATAATAATATTTTTGTTTTATTTAAAATATATAAAAAAAAATAAAAAAAAAAAAAAAAAAAAAAAAAAAAAAAAAAAAAAAAAAAAAAAAAAAAAAAAAAAAAGTGCTTGCGGGTGGCGAGGAAAATAAGGTGGTCAGCGAAATAGGTGTATATGTATACTGTCGGTGTTCGTCGTTACGGGGCCAAAGTTGCGATACAGGGGCACGTCCCACCCCAGTTGCCATTAGCGCATATGCCTACTCACCTGTCTTGCCAACCGTATTGAGTTTTTCCCCATCAAAGCCGATTGTCGATCATGTTCTGGCGCCGCGTTCAAGATTGCCGATGCTCCGAACATGCCTGCACGCTGGGTGTTTTGCTTCCTTGGCAAAGGATACACACGCCCAAGGCTTGGCTTGCAAAAGTCGAATCGTTTCCCTCGACTGTGCACCGCATTCGGTTTCTCCTCAAAAGCGTTGCTTCTTGCAATTCCTCGCAAATCGTTTGTGTTGCAAGCGCGATTCGTGCCCCTGCCGCTGCCTGAAGGCATCAAGGTGGTCCTTTGCTTATCCTTCTCCCCCCTGTCCTCCTCTTTCTCTTCCTCTCACTCCTTCCTCCTCTCACTTTCGTCGCCCCTCCTCCCTGGGGTCCTTGAGAGCCCCCCAGAAACTCGAAAGACCCCAAAGCTTTTCCAATGTCTTTCAGAAATTCCAAACTCCCAGACACCCTTCATCCCACCCCACCCCACCCCCACACAAGACCCCAGGGCATCCTCATGTCCCTCCTCCTCCCCCTCCCCTCGTTTTCCTAATACTCCTCCTCCTCCTCCTTCGCCTCCTCCTCCTCCTCTTCCTCTTCCTCTTCATCCTCCTCCTCCTACTACTCATCCTCCTCATCCCGCTGTCCGAACTTATTTGGTTCCTCCTCCTTGCCATCCTCCTCATCACCTGGACGCTCGACGCTGACGGCTCTGGGGTACTTCTCCCTTTCCTCCTCCTCTTCCTCCTCCTCATGATTCAGAGACGGGGTGCGATGATCTTAGAGCTGGATCTGGACCCATCCAAATCAGTCGTCATGGTTTCTGTTGCCTTACAAGAGAGAACGGAGAAGGGCGAGCCTGGAAGCTGGCCCATTGGACGGGGCAGTGCTTGGGAGTCCCAGGCCGACGAGGACGATCATGGTTCAGAGCACAGCTTACACCGCCGACGAAAATTGTCACCCGTCCTAGTTCGTAATCAACGCGACTCCACGGAGCAGGCGGAGTTGCATGTACTCCGCGCGGAGGCGCATCCCGTGCAATCATTGATGTGGTTTCACGCGGAGTAATTTCTCTTCCCGAATTGAATTAACGGAGTGCAGAGCCACACGGGGACTTAAGCTACTCTTCCGAACATCGCAAGCTGTATTTCAAACCAGAAACCGTGAGATGGATAAGAGCCTTATCGGTCATAGAAATTGGACGGACCTCCTCTCAGGCGCATACCACCCAGAGATGTGTCGGGTTTGGCGCGGGGTAGCTTCGGGTCCCAGATACAATGGACAGGGTAGAAAAACCATACGGGGACCGAAACTACTCCGCCGAGCACCGCAAGCCGTATGCAATGTCGGGGGTCGTTGAGAGGGATAGGCTTCTCGATCACAGGATGCTGGTGGAACTCTTGTCACGGTGGTGCATCCCACGACGAGAAGGGACAAGATATGCAGGGCCACGCTTGCACCGATACAGTGGGGGCGCGCATCAAGAAGCCATGTGCGTTTCGTCAGCGTACTCTGTTTTCTTTGCTCCGCGC